CTGAAATCGGCCACTCTTCCCGATCTCCTTAGTTTTGGGACGTACACATTTTCCTTCCCAAAGAAGAAACCTTTGATGAGAAGCAGGAAATCATCTTCCAGCAAACACAAGTTACAGCGTTATGACGAATTTTCTATTTATCTCACTTTGCTGTGCATTCAACTGTTTGTGCGTGTGATGAAGGGAACACACAACAGGAAAGAGCCATCAGAACCACTCCCTTATAAATGTGGGCCAAGATTGTAGTGTGTGCCTGTGAGTTTACTGGAGATTGAAAGATTGTGTTGTTATGTAATGTCATAGTGACAGTCGTGTATTTACCGCAGCACAAAGGGGTCTGACAGTAGGTCTTCTGTGTTTTACTGTGATACAAATAGTAACGTTAGGATTAGAGCAGCACAAATTCCTTTTTTTGTTTTATCGGGTCTGGTAACATGAAATTTTGAGCTGAGGTATTTTGTAATGTTGTGGTACAAGTTCTGAAGTCATTCCTTTGTAATTATAATGAACTATTGTATATATTTTTTGTCAAATTTAACAGATTTCTTAAACTCTCTGAACCCCAAACCCTGATTTTGAAAGATATGTTTTGTGTATTTATTTTTGAAGCCACCAAAATTGTACCATTTATCAGCCAGAAACTATAAAAAATGAAAGAATAGTCTGATTTTCAAGACAGTTTTCTGGAAGCCCGATGGTGCAACTTGTGCTGTTTGACCCGGTGCATTGTCCTGGAGCAAGCGCACACCAACTTGAAGCTTTTCTCTCCTTGCAAAGAAATGACAACAAACACTTGAGTGTTTGTGGCCAGTGATACAAGGATTTGCAGCCTGCAGTTATGCCCTTTAATGAGAGTTACCTCCATTGGTTCTGGGTGAGGCTGAAAACTTTTTGAAGCGTTCATCAGACATTAGCTCAATTGTTGGTGAATTTTCTCTCTTGTAAGTAATATTAACATACTCCACTCACTGCTGCAGCCAACCAGGCAGCAGCTCACTGCAATTGAAGTGTATTAATGTGAAGTTCTCATGGCTGTATGTAGTTGTAGAATAGCAAAATGACTGGTGTTTAAATTGTTCAACCATGTCTGTGTCCATTCATGCAGAAACGTGTTTCGACCGTTGTAACATGTAACCTGAAGTGTGTGTATTTAGTATGTCACTTAGGGGCTTCCCTTCTTGTGATTGCAGTGCTAAGCGTCCGACAGGCATGTCAAGCGTCCTGGGTCGCCTTGGAGGAAAGAAACAGAAAATGAGCACGCTGGAAAAGTCTAAGATGGACTGGGACGCTTTTAAATCAGAGGAGGGCATCACAGAGGAGCTGGCCATTCACAACAGAGGCAGAGAGGGGTAAGAGACTGCCAGAGTGTGTGGTTGTATAGGGCGAGGGCAGTAATGATGTACAACTGAGTGTGTTCTCATTTTGTATTGAAAGATTTGAAACTTCACGTATTATATTGCAACTGGGGGGGAAAAAAGGGTAAAAGGACAAAATATCCCAGTTCTGGTGATTGAACCAACCCTAAGCTCTGCCTGTCCTTACTGATGGAAAGAGTCATTCTGCAAACGGTTTCATAGTGATCAATAAAACTGCAGTCATCAAGTCAGATATGTGTCTTATTTATTATTTCTGCATCACATGAAGGGTGATGATCAACCTGTTATGTTGGTTTACACTGGTATCAGGAGGAGTTGCTTGTAGCATTTTAACATAGCCTCTGTGTGTGTGTGTGCACTTGTGATCATAAGAGTAACTGTAATGTCTTTTCTCTTTCTGTTTGTTTAGGTATGTGGAGCGGAAGAACTTCTTAGAGCGCGTCGACCACCGCCAGTTTGAGTTAGAAAAAGCAGTTCGACTGAGCAACATGAAACAATGACATAGACTGACTGACAACAAACACTCGTAGAGTGGAACCAAGGATTTGTATTCTCTTTCTAACGACACAGTTGCTATTCCTTCAGCAAAGTGAGCTCAAACTGGTGCCGTGGCTGGAGTCTATTTCAGGATGGGTATATTAATAGGCTGAGTTTGTGTAATTAGGGGTGTTGAGAGTTCATCCTTGTGAGAACCAACTAGAGTTTCAGACCTTCATGCTGAGGACATAACTGGAATGTGAGGTCCCTGCTTTCTCAAGGGGATGGTTTTGGGTGAGGACTTAAATTATGGGTTAAAAAGTAATTCTGGTTTATTACAACTTGTCTTATTTTTGTAGTTTTAAACATAATTTCTGTCTGTAATTGTGTCACTCTCACCATGATCATAACTGAGATTGGGGAACTTGGTGGCATCACTAAAATTAAACCTTCCAGGTCAGGCAGGCAGATAGTCTACAACCGCAATAAAAACTCGAAATAAGGTTCTAGCTTGAAGTTAAGGCACAGGTTGACGTTTCTGTTTTTGGATATCTTACCTGCATGAGGAAAAAAAAACACTGGATAATGCAGGTGTAAAACCAAATGAAACATGTCAGCTCTAAGCGATGTGCTGAAATTAAAGGGTCTCCTCAGATCCTGCCTCCTCCTCTTACAATCTTAACCTGTGTGTCAAAAACACCTTTGTCTACAAAGGGGGAAAAGGACAGCCTTGCAATAGTTGCAGTACATCCAGTCACAATGAGGGAAAAATTAAGATAACAAGAACCTTTGTTCATACAATGCTGTTACTCAAGTACAGATCATATGTGAATACCTGGTAGAAATTGGGTCTTCAGGATCATTTCTATGTTCTTCAACACAGAAGCACACACGTGAATGCAACAGAACTAAACTATAGTGTAGAGTTATGTCACAGCGACTGCAAATAAATAATTTTAACTTTTTCTTTCAGAAGTCACGTCTTGTCTCTTAGCTTGACACGCAGGCTTCATACTGTAATCACTGACTTTTGCAACACACGCCTTGAAGAGGAATTCTGGTATTCTGGACACAACTGGTCCAAAAATCTACTGGTGAATTGATCTAAATTGCTAAATTTACTTCTTGTGTTCACTGGGCATGGCAACACAATGTGAGGTTCTGGTTGTGTGTTTGTCTTTGTTCCTTGGCTCCCATGTCGAGTGTTGTACCCTTGACATTTTGTCAGTGAAAAAAAACAAAAATATTTGAACAGTGTCTTATTTTGTACTAATGATCAAGCCAGCCTGTCAGACTCTCACGTTGGTTTTAAAACTTTGACAAGACCTATTTGTTCTTTTAAAAAAAAAATACTGGTGCAGACGTTCCAGCACTGTGACATCTCTTTTTAGAAGAAAATTTAGCATTAGGATCATTTAAAAGAAGCGATAATGATATTTAATTTCCAGACACAGCATTTTTAATTGGCTGATAGAGATGACTGCTTTGGTTGGAGGCTCCTCATAAACAGGGTTCAGTGTGTATGAAATGTTGGGTTCGCACTTCTTCGTATGGTCAGTAGATGTTAGATATAGTTTCAGGGCTCAACCACCACTGACCAACCATCGCTGAGGCCATAAGTGATGCTTTTGAGTTGAAAAAAAAATCTGACTAATGTACCATATTTTGAACATTTTCATACTTTTGAAACCATCGTGAGAAACTGAAACACCTTGCTACCAGCTGAACTTAAAACATGTACTCATGCATTCAGGTGAGAAGCTTTTTGTAGACACTGTACAGATGCTGATCAATGCCACCATAGAAATGTAGTCAATCCAACTGCCTCTTACCTGTCATATCTGAGGAGGACCACATTGAACTAAGCAGGTCTGATGGGTGACATTGACCTTGTCCAGATGTTCTTCGTCCTGCTTAAGAACAGAGTGGGAAAAGTGGGATTGATGCAAAACATTACGGTGATTAGCGGGGGTTTTGAATTCTTGTTTGAGTGATTGAGTCTCAGTACAGTTCTCTGTTTATTCATGTGAATATTAAATATCCATCCAACACAAACAGATCAGTCTGTTGATTTGGCTTATTTTTATTGTCTGAGATTTCAAACTGTAGGTTGAAGGGATTTTTCTTCCATCACCTCCAGCAATTCTACTGCCGACTACCCTGATCACCTGCTCTTTAACATTGTCACTTTATCACTGGAACAACCGTGACCTTTTTTTTTTTGGCACCAGTAATTATGTAATATAATTAAGATATCGCATTCCTGTAGCTAAGCTAGGGTTGTGGCCTTATGTGTATACATATGTGTCCATAAGGTTTTCCTTTTAAACAGTCCAAGAAAGGAAAGAACCATTTCATTTAATAGTAAATAATCAACTACATAAGGCTCATTCACTAGCTTTTTTTCAGCGTTTTCAGCATGATTTCCCCATCAGTGAATCAATGTTAGCTAAGTTTTCATGGATTTCTTTCTCTTTTACAGGGATCAACTATCAGTGGGATAGTGTAACATGGGCAGGAATGTGTTTCTAGCACCTGTGGAGTACAGTTGATGTGTATTCCTCCAAGTCCTGATTCTCAAAAATGTCCCAGTTAGTCCTTTAAAAGCAGTCCTGCAGCTGCGAGGAAACTCCTTCAGGCCATGTTACAGTTCTTATGGTGGGTTGAGCTTTTCTTCTGAAGGGCTTGTATGCTGATCTGCCTTTGGATGTGCTCTGTTGTGCTGTGCAAGTAATCTAGGGCTATGCTAGCAGTAGCAACAATGTCTGTCTATGATTTTGGCATTAGTTAACCAGTTGTTGTGGAAACAAATACACAATCATCCTCCTTTGCCTTTACTGGAGTTTATGTTTCTTTCCCAGTGAAATGTTGCATGTTCTGTTATCTATCTCCATTGTAATGTTGGGCATCAGTGGGTGAGGCCAATTCTCTGTTGTAAGCTGAATACAACAGTCCTGCATGAATTTGTTTGTGGACATTTGTAGTTATAATTCGTCCAATTTATTGGTGATGGATTGGATGTTTGTGAAAAAGATACTCGGTCCCGGCAGTTTGTGTGGTTGTTTCCTCAGCCGCCACATCTTCGGTGCTTGCTGAGACTGATGACAATCCACAGAGAGCGCAATGACCTGGTTATGGCCTCTGGTATATTATGCGAGTGCAGAAATTCACTTGTAACGGCCTGATTACACTGTAGACCTATGATCAAAAGATTGTGTTAAAATTTTGAACTAAAGAAGGGAGAGCATTGAGTTGGTGCGTCTGTGTACGCCGCCATCTTGTTTGTTTGGATGTTACCTATTTTGGCAATATTGTCCAGGTGACAGAAGGCTGTAGTAGAGCCTTGTTCAATGTGTTTGTTGAATGACATGAAAATAACTCCAAGGTTCCTCATAGTAGTGCTGGAGGCCAAGGCAGTGCCCTCGAGAGTAACTATCAGGTTGTGTCTCTGAGGTGTTTAGGAACAAATACAGTAACTTCCGTTTTGTCTGAATTCATAATAGGACATTTACAGGTCATTGTGTCTTTAATACTTTCTTGGAGTTTGTATAACTGATTTGTTTTATCTGGCTTCATAGGTACGCATAGCTGGGTGTCATCTGCATAGCAATATACGTTCAGACAGTATTTCCTAATAATATTGCCTAAGGGGAGCATGTGTAAAGGGAAAAGAATCGCTCCTTGCACAGAATCCTGTGGAAATCTGTAACTAACTCTGGTGTGTGTAAAACAAGCATCATCTGCTAAATATGAGCTAAATGTTACACAGTCAATTTCTAAATATCCACTCTTACTGCTAGTCAGTTGGCCTCGCACTGTCCCTTTCAGAAAGCAATGTCCTTATACAGTGTACATCCTGTGGTATTTGTGTGCTTTGGTATTAGAACTCTAAGGTGTCTGCCATTTCTAATAAAAATTTGTACTTCTAAAGCAGTCTCCTCTGGTGACCAAAGAACCTGGTTAATGCTATATGTTCAGTACAGTCTGGAAGTACTTGGACTGCTACACACTCTGTGCTTTAACACATTCTACTTGAAAAAATAGATTCAATGTTAAAGTAGTTTTACAAACACACATCATTTAAAGCTGAGACTATGTTTAAATCAATAAATCAATATGAAAAGCACTGTGTCAGACACTGGCCCATATAACACACACTGCCCCAGGTGTAGGTATTCAACAGTAATTAGACGGATACACATGAAGTCAAACAGAAAATGATATGTTATGTATTATCCAACTAGCAAAATGCTCTCTGCTGGTATCATCTCTGTTGCTCCTTTTCAGGTGATAATAAGCTTGCCTTGTAACATGCAAGTGAATTTTAACACAAACCATGATCAAGTAGATTTGGTGCCTAAACTTAAACGAGCAGAGCATGAAAACAAGTAAACCGTCAGTAAAAATACATCCTATGTCACAAAATAAATCAAAAGTTTGTAAAGGAAAAATGGTCCAAGACAGGACACAAACATCAGTCTGCTGGGTGACAGTCCGGTGACTTATTCACCATGTACAATTCTTTTTAACAGGAAAAACTCTTATATATCTGTAGGTGGTGAATATGTGAATATAGAGGCTTTGACAAAGGGGAAATTTTTGACACACTGCATGAGAATAGGTCGTAATGGAATAGTAAAACTTCAGTAAAATGGCTTAACATACGCAATTTATTATAGTTATTTCCCAAAGGCAACCAGTGCATTTTGAAGCAATCTCTATAGACAATGAGCTCAGTAAAGCAGTTGCACTGAAGTGGACCACAACAGCTGCA